ATCATTCATGTGACATAAGTAAAGAACAACATAGAAAATTACTACCTTTTCTAGCATTCGAAAGAGCTAAGGTAGATAATATTTCGTATGATTGTGAGCAAATAATAGCTGATTTTGATAAAGTTCCTGATGATAGATATAAATATGGAATTGTCAAAATTGATGAATGTCTTGATGCGAATGAATTAGTTAACATAGTGAATGATACTTTGACTAAATCTGAACAAATTCAAGTTTTGAAAAAGACTGAGAATTCAACATCTGATTCTCAATCTAATTTTGCTGATATTGAAGATAATTCTGACAATATTAGTGAAATTAGTGAACTTGAAGATGTTGATTGTTCTCAGTTGTCTGTTGTTAATATTGCATCAACATCTAAAGGGAAAGAAAAAGTTAAGGATTTGATGGTTGAAAATGAAACTGATATACCTTCAAGTTCGAATGTTAGTGATATGAACTTTGTGGATCTCAAAGACAGTCAAACTGATGATAGTGATGATGAAGATGAAGAGAAAATTTCGAAGGAAAAGAAATCTTCAAAGGAAGAAGAAACTCCTCGAATAGTGGTTGATCAAGTGTATGGTGATACACAAAAGTTCGAAAAAGTAATGAATGAAAAAGGTGAACACTATCTTGAAACGAATACAGTGGTTTATCCAAATTTCAAATGTACAGATGATGTCATTTTTCCAAATCAAGTTTTCGTAACTACTGGAAATGTTGAGAATATCAAACCAGAATTAAAGAAGTTAGTTGAGGAGGATAATTAAAAAACAACTAATGAAGGTTTTTTCGCAAATCAAAGCACAGTTGAAAACAACTTAACAAATAATTCGTATGTTTTCCAACGTCAAAAACCACAAAGAAAATGGGTTGAAAAATCAAAAATTGAAAAAGAGAATTCAAAACAAGTTGTAAAGGAAAATGAAAAAGTTGTCAAACTAAACTCTAAGGAATTTAAAGAACAAATTGATAAATTTTCGAAGGAAAACAACATTTCAAAAAGACAAGCAAGAAAGAAAATATTTTGGTAAAATGTTGAGTCTCAAAAGATGTCTGAATCACAATCACCCAAAATGTTTTCAAAGCTAAAAATTCTTCTTTTTCAACAAAACCTCAACATTCGTATCAATCAAATCATTCAAGGTCTGCAGTGAATAAACAACCAAGGTTTTCGAAAGTTTCAGAACCTAACAATTCAAGAACATTTTCAAATAAATCAAATTTTAAATCAACAGTTGATACATCATATGCTCAATCTTTTCTAACAAATCCAAAAGTTGATTTTGTTCCTCAAAAGCCAAATTTTCCTAATCATACGAAGAAAGAACATATGAAAACTTCACGTGAAAAAGGGATGACATCAAGGAAGAACATTGATCATTGGCTTGAAGGCAAAGGAAAGATGTATCAGTCGAATACATTTTCAAAGGAGCAAATTCACGAAGCATATGAGAAGTATGTGAATACTTCATCAAATGGCAGTTCATCTTCTCAGGATTCGAACATTTCAGTCAAAGCTTGGAAACCAGTAATAAAAGCAAAGAATATTCATTCACAAACTCAGAATTCGAAGGGTAATGTCAGTGAACATTCGAAACCATCAACAACTTATGTTTCAGTTCCTTTAAATGAAGATGTAAACTTAATTGATAGTCTCAAAACTAAAGTTTGTAATTGGGTTAAAAGTTCTTCATTACATTCGAAATTGAAATATAATTACCAAGGACCCAAAAAGCCTTGGGTAACTAAATTTTCCACTGATTGTAGGTACTATGTGACGAGCAATATGATAACAAGTGGTACATTGATAATGGTTGCTCTCGTCACATGACTGGGAAAAAGGAGAATTTACGTGATTTTCGAAGTCTCAAAAATGCTGGAGTAGTGAAGTTTGGGAACAATCAAAAATGTCAAGTAAAAGGATATGGGAAGATCACGAATGGACAATTCACAGTGAATCGTGTTGCATATGTTGAAGGTCTTCAACATAACTTGATAAGTGTTTCTCAACTTGTTGTGGGCACTGACAATCAAGTTCTTTTTAACGAAGAAGGAAGTGTTATTTCGAATGTAAACACAAAAGAAGTGTTACTGAAATCCAAAAGGAAATGTGATATGTTCACTTTGGATATCAATCCGATAGTAGGGAAACCTGCTATATGTCTTCTTTCGAAAGCAACGGCAGACTTAAGTTGGCTATGGCATCGAAGACTTTCTCATCTCAATTTTCGAAACATCAATAAACTTGTGGTACAAGATCCGGTAAGAGGTTTACCTGTACTTAAATTTGACAATGATTCTTTATGTGCAGCTTGTTAAGTGGGCAAGCAACATAAACAAGGTCATCCAATTACGATTGATTCGAAAATCGTCGCACCTTTGGAACTCTTACATATTGGTTTGTGTGGTCCTTCAACTGTTTCAACTCTCAACAAGAAAAGGTACATTATAGTTATTGTTGATGACTTTTCCAGATTTACAACAAATGCCCCACCTGTTTTCACAGGGGTGCAAGGGGGAGAAAGAAAAACTAGTGAGTCGAAGGCTGGTGGTGAAGATGTGAAAGTTGTTGGAAAGGTATTTTCTTCGAAGATTCCAACAACAAAACCAGTCATAGTTTCTGCTGGGATGGTTACTTCAACAGTTGTCACAACATTACATATTACAAGACCTATTTCGAAAGGAATTGTAATTGGTAAATCTATGGAGACTGGGGAGAGTGGTTCGAAACCAAAAGAGGCAATTGACAATCCAGCTTTGAAAGATAAAGGGAAATCGATTGTAGTGGAAATGTCAAAAGAAGAAAAGAAGGCTGCAGCAGAAGCTGGAATCGAAAAACTGAGGTTGATTCAAAGCATTATGGCTCAGCGTGCTGGTGATCCGAAGGGAATGGACAAAGGTGATCCTGCCAAACACTACAATTATGAAACAATCGAGGCCAAGGTAGCATATAATCACATGTATTCGTTTGAGAAGAAGCCAAAACAGAGTTATTTGGTTACGAATACTGATACAAGCCAGCTGGATTTTTCCGATAAACGAAATGATGTTCATCATGCCTCAGTTCAAAGCTGAAGGAAATTTTAAAGAAAAAGATGAAGGTACACACATGAAAATTCGTTTTCATGCTGTTCTTGCAAAAGCCCCCTGAGGAAGTGTGGTCATTGGTTAAAATCAAGAAAGTGATCAGTATGAAAAAGGATGTGGTATTCGAAAACACAGTCCAAAATTTCAAGTATGTGGTTGCCAGGGCAAATGGAAATATTTGCGAATTCACTGTTGCAGATTTTCCATTGATGAACTTGTATGATCTTATACAAGTTGCATTGCTTTTAAAAGACAAATCATTTTCATACCTTCAAAACACAGAACCTGATGAATTCAAGCTTGGGGTTGCTCACATCAAGATTTTCATAGAAAATTACTACGAGTGTTTGACTCTTACAGATGTGGAGTTAGCTACGGCTAAAGGTATGGAAATTAAAGCTCCGATGGCTCCAAAAAGACTCAAGTAGAATTGAAAAAAATACGCTGATGGAGAAATCTGCTTGAAGCCTTTTGGAATGGTATTCGCAGGAAAAGACAAAGCTGGAAAAGCTAAACGGTTCTTATTCCAGGCAAGCGAAGTGGAGAGATATTCAACATCTCAATATACGAACTTAATTGTTCGTATGAATCATTGCAAGAAAAACAATGAAGGAGATAAGAAAGAGCTGAAGAAGATTATCTTCTGGTACACGGAGATTCGAAGAGTGTTACTGTATTCCATCACACTTCTTACGAATTAAGGATTTCGACTATGATTACAAAGGGGGAGATTGTAAGGGTCGAATTGTTGTAATTAGTCGAAATATATTTTGTACTCTTCGAATGGTTTGTAATGTATTTTACTAGGGCGCCTTTATTCGAAGCTTAAGTGTCTATGCCTTAGTATATTTTTTGTACGCTTTCGGTTCCCTATAAATAAGGTTATTTACTAGAGTTAGATAAGAGTTTTTACAGACCTGCCTATTGTACTCTGTAAAGATACGAAAACATAATAGAGCTGAAACAAGATCATATTTACATCCGGTGTTCAAATCTCGCATTCATACTTGAATTCATACTCTGATTAATTCAATACTCGATTCTTTGATTCATCACTTTTAATGCGGTTTTTTGAAAACCGCACTAATAAATGTTTTAAATGATGCGGTTTCTTGATTTATTGATGCGAAAATAGTTTAATGATGCGGTTTTGAGCTACCACCGCATCAAAAAAATAAAAACCATCGCACTAATAAATACATTATGTAGTAGTGATTGCTAACTAAAGTTGATCCTAGTTTAAAGGGAAACTTCCATGTAGACAGTTCCCTTATTTTTCGCAAGTGTTGTTAATTATACGTGAGGGAATAGACCCCAGAAAGTGCTAGTAGGTATAACGAAAAAAAAAAAAAAAGAGAAAATAGTACATGAAAGCTTGCAAAAGAATTTGTAACCCTATTACACTTTGGTTTTTGGAGACTTGCGTTTGAGGGTAATAAAGTTGTCGGGAATAGGTTGCCGTGTAAAACTTGATTATTCCACAACTCTCGTGCTTTGTTTTGTTCCGATAGGTATAGATGTCTGCCACTCTGAGGTGAAGAGTTGCAATGAGGGAAGAGCTCACGTACTTGTCCTTCTTTGTCCGGTTGAATTTTCTAAAGGTTGTTTTGTATTTTGTAGACAAGCGTATTAGATGAAGGAGAGAGACATAATTAAAGAAAGAACTTTAAGATTATCATTTTACAAACCTAATATCTGAGATACAAAGAAACTTCTATATATATATAGAAACTTCCAAACATAGGTGACATATATGCCAACAGCTGATGCATATAATGATCATGTTCTTAATTAACACACATATGCAACAGGATTTATTAGAAACTCGAACTCATTATCAAACAAAACATAAAATTGTAATTTGATCACACCAGATAGATTTATTACGTTTTCTTCTGGTATTTGGCTCAAATATTTTCTTCACTTATTTTGGTTAACCTGACCTTCAACCCATGCTTCATCATAAGTACCATGGAAGCGCTAGGAATAACCGGGTGACCTTCTACCAGCTCAATGTGATAATGATAAATGATTGTAGATGCCACTATCTTTAGTTGAGTGAAACTCATGTCCTTACCTAAGCATGTCCTCGGCCCACCACTAAATGCCACGAACTTGTTAGATGGCTCATGTTTGATACCTCCTTTCTCTGAAATCCATCTTTCAGGCTTGAATTCCATGCAATCCTTACCCCATATCTTTTCCATCCTTCCCATTCCATAGTAATATAGAATAATCCTGGTGTTTTGACTAACTTGGTGGCCACTTGGAAGGATTTCTGACTGTAATGGAGTTTTGTGGTTAAAAGGAACAGCAGGGTAAAGCCTTAAGGCTTCGCATAGAGCCCCATGAAGATAAACCAGTTTTCCTACCTCTTTGGAATTCCAGTTCTTCTGATCATCTACTTTCATCTCCAGAAACGTGTGAATCTCCTCTCGGATCTTGTCCTCTACGATTGGGTTTTTTGCAACGAGATAGAAAAACCATGAGAGAGTTGCGGTAGTTGTATCTCTCCCTGCGCCCATTAGGGTCACTATGGTATCCCTTACAAAGTTTTTGGGATATCCAAAATTGCCGCTTTGGCTTTTGAACTCTGTTACCAGGGATGTCACTAATCCAAAACTTTCATGAGAATGTTCACTTTCCATGTTACTGGACTCGTGTTTTATTCTAGCTAAGCACTTGTCTACAAAGTGATCAACTGCATTGTATGCCTCACTCAGCTTCTTCTCATTCCCCATTTTCAGTAGTCGTTGTAGTTTCCAAAAGATTGGGGGCATAAGATGCCTGTACAACATGCCTTCTGTAATATCTACCCAGGCTTTCTCACACCGAATGTAAGGAAAATTGAGAGACAAGCTTTGCGGGTCATATTCTAAGAGCACCTTGCATATAGTGTCAAAAGTGAATCTTTGAAATACGTCCTGCAAATCGATCTCCATGCCCGTTTTGGAAATAGACTCTAATACTGGCAAAAGCCCACTTTCCACCTTCTTCCAGACAACTGCTTCAAAAACACTTTGAAAGTTGGGTTGTCTAAAGAGAGACATGATGGTTTTGCGGTGAATTTCCCATAAATGTCCGTCGATATTAATGATTCCATCTCCAAAAATGTCGAACAATTTACGGTAATTTTGCCCTTTTGGATAATTAGGAAAGTTCTTGCTCAAAACATGGTGGATGTCTAATGGGTCTGTGGTAATAAGCATATCCATGCTGGCAAACCAAGGCCCTCTCAACATGAAAGTACCGCCACTACGATTAAGATATATGGCCAAAAAATCATGGAGTCGGTGCAAGTTTGTGAGGATTTCAGAAAAGAAACCAAGAGGCAGCCAATTTCTATCCTTGAGAGTTTTTAGGTTTTGAGGTTGGTAATGAAAAACTAGAAAAGAAAGGAAAATGATAATGATCAGATATTCAAGGAAAACCATACTGAATAAACACAAAGATGAACTTAGGTGATACAGCAAGGAGGTTAAGCAATACAGTGGTATATATAAAAGAAAAACACTCCATGCCGCATATACCTACTAACATACACTATTAATTTTCAATACACAAAACTACTCAAATGGTCCTCGTAGTTTACTAAAGGTTACACACTCAGTTTTTACTAAAATATTTTGACGAACATTGTCCATGACGTTTCCAAAACTATTGTGAAATGTTTTTTTTTTTTTTTTTTGCTAAACCTGTGAAATTTGTTCCTTAAGCCCTATCACGTGCGTTGAATGTGGGGATAATTTGGTTTTTTCAGTTGAGACCAAGTTTGTCCATGGGTAAACCAAAGGAACTATTTATATAATTCTCTATATATATATATATATATATATATATATATATATATATATATATATATATATATATATATATATATATATTAAGCTGAATAAATTAAACGAAAAACACTAACAAGATGCTAGTGAAAAAAAATTTACAAAGAGTTTAAAAGAAGGTTTTGAAGCCATAAACTCCAATCAATGTGGAGTTTATGTTTCTTATGCACTACCCAACAATACGTGAAAGAAACAATATCATCAAATATAGTATCCAATCCTAGGCTTAACACGATCGAAAATGAGTTTATTCTTGTACTTCCAAATATTCTACCAAGTGGTAGAGAGAATAACATCCATGAGCAGCTTTCGGGTGGCAGGCAGACGAAGCTGAAAATCGAAATCTTGTAACTCCATAGTTGTTTGGATCGAAGGGAACTCAAGATCACACCACTTCCAAACCTTGGCTAAAACATCTTTCGAGATATCACACTCCACGAAGGTGTGATTACCACTAGTACATAAATGATTTGTTGATGTGGTTAAAATAGTTATTTGATGCGGTTATTGAACCGCACTAACAAATATCGCATCAAAAAATACCCTCATTTAACAGTGCGGTTATAAAACCGCCTCAAAAAATAATCAAAACCGTACCAAAAAATAGCAGAGGAAAAATACAAATTGCACCATAAAATGATGAAAACCGCCCCAAAAAAATGCAAACAACACAAAAATAAAAAAACCATCCCACCGGAAACCACCCTTAAACCACCATCATCTCTACCGCGTGTTTGTTGCCGAGAAAACAAGATTCACCAAGACACACCATTTTTATCGCCATTAACCACCGTCGAGCATCTCTACCTTGACCTCCTTTACAACCGAGCATAAACCACCACCAGTTGACACCATCGCCATCTGCCCCACTTTTGCCAGAAACCACCATTACAGCCACGAAGAACACCCAACATCCCCAGTTACCATCGTTTTTTCCACCTTAAACAAACCAAACATAAATCAGTAAAAAAAAGGAAGAACAAAAATTAGTTTATCTGCATACCTACCATCTCCACCACTAACCATCGTCAACACACCACCGACCATAAATGTCGTGCCTATACTGATAACCATCGAAGCACCACCATCTCCTACATATTTCCGATTAAACAACTTATTTCACCTTAAACAAACCAAACGTTAATCAGAAAAGGAAAATAAGGAAGAAGAAAAGATATATGCTTCTTGTGTTGTCTGTAAAATGGGGAAAAGCACACGCAGGACACACATACTTTTAGAGGGAAATGAAAATATAGAAGGAAAACGAAAATATAGGAGGGAAATGAAAAATTCGAAGGATCAACCAACTTGTAGCTTGCTTGAACATGAAAATTTTGAACGAAATTTGGAGGGATCTCGTGAAGAATGAAAAATTCGAATGAAATTTTTAGAGGAAAGATTAATGGTGTGGTTGAATGTTTTTAGTGCGAATTATTTTTTGGTGCAGTTCAATGTTTTTTAGTGCGAATTATATTTTGAGGCGGTTTTAATTGTTTTTTGGTGCGGTTTTGGGAAACCACCTCAAAAAATGCTTTAATGGTGCGATTTTGGAAAACCGCACTAATAAATCTATTTTATGGTGTGATTCTCTTCTTTTTTTATGTTGTAGATATTTAATAAGGCGGTTTTTAGAAAGGACCGCATCAAAAAATAAAAATCACTCGCACTATTAAATGACTTGTGTAGTAGTGTACGATTCTCTAAATGATCCCCACATATAGAATAAAGATGACCAGGAACATGAATACCTCGAGCAATAAGGTTATCTTTAGTGGGGAGCCGATTAAGCATAAATCTCCAACGAAGTATATTAATCTTTATATGAATAAACGTATTCCAAGCTGTATGTCTAACCATGAGGTAACATCAAATCATCAATAAGATGGCGGGTAGCCTTAACTGTGAAATCAGCCCCATTGCCCAAATCCCAAATCCAACTGTCAGGACGGCTACAAAAAACCATGCTACCCAACATCTCAATCAAAGTCGTGAATTAAGACATTTCAGCCCCTCCTATTGGTTGTCTCCTCCAGCTCCAATGCCACGATTGATCAACTCGATCAACAATAAGGCAGTCTCGATTAAATCTAACGCCACAAGCCTGGAAAAACTTGATCAAAAGTAACATCCACAACCCAAATATCCTTCCAAAAAAGTGTATGTCTACCATTCCTTACATATTTCTTAATAGAATTAACAGGAACAATTTGTCTCTCATGCAAAGTTCGAGTAACAGCAACAATAAACGACCATGCCCCTTTAACTGTACTACCTCTACAACTAATAGGAAAACCTCCCGAGTCACCATGAATGGATTTAATAACTCTAACTCAAAGAGCTTCATGATTATTCAAAAAATGTCACCGCCACTTTAGCAGTAAAGCCTCATTAAGAGTAAGAAAACTACTGATACCAAGACCCCCAACTTGTTTGTCAGCCAAAACCATCTTCCATTTAACCCAACCTATTTTTCTTTCTTCTATATCTGCTCCCCAGAAAAACGAAGCTCTCAAAGACTCCAACAAATTATCAATTTTAACCGACATTTGAATAAAGAGCAATAATAAATACCCAAGGAGTCGAGGACCGATCTAATCAAAGTAAATCTACCACCAATGGAAATCATTTTTACCTTCCACCATGTTAACTTCTTTTTAAACTTTGACACCAACGGATCCCAAGTCCCATTCCTAGCCATATTAAGACCAACAGGAACCCTAAATACTTAAAAGGAAAAGAATTAGGTTCACATCCTACCACTATAGCAAAATAATGAACCTCAGCAACAGAGACACCAATCCCATAAATTTTCGATTTATGAAAATTTATTTGAAGAACTGAAAACATCATAAAAACATTTCAAAATCCGTATCAAAAACTCCTTATTTTCCTATGACCAATGACCCATAAAGATCACATCATCTGCAACAAACAGATGCAAGACCTGAATAGCAGGGGAGCCAATCATAGAAGGAATAAACAAATTAGAATCCACTGCATCCAACATGGTTACGTTTAATGCCTCTATAACAAGTAAGAAAAGAAAATGAGATAAAGGATCTCCTTGTATAAGGCCTCACTCAAGAGAAAATTCATCGGGCTTCCATTAACTATGATTGACGATCTAGAAGACACCAAATAAGCTTTAATCCACCCAATCCATCTATGTCCGAAACCCAAGAAAGCCATAATACCAAGAAGAAAATCCCATGAAACAGAATCATATGATTTTTCAAAGTCAATTTTCAAAAGCATACATTTTTTTCATATGCTTCTTAGACCACGAAACAATCTCATTCAATAAAAGGGGGCCATCTAACATATGCCCACCTTTCATGAAAGCCGACTATTGAATGTCAGTGACTGTACCAACTACCAATCCAAGCCTATTAGCAAGAGTTTTTGCTAAAATCTTGTACATCACTCCAATCAAACTAATAGGTCTAAAAATCTTTGACAAGCCGAGGATCTTGAACCTTAGGAATTAAAGTAATAAAGGAGGAATTACGACTAGGAGGAATGAAACCTCTGTAACAAAAATCTTGCATGAACGCCATGATTTCCGGTTTAAGAATATCCCAAAAGTGTTTCAATTCAATTGACATGTACATAAAAAAACAAGTACGTTTTTTTTTAATTTACTTTATAAAGTTCTAATAAAACAAGTAAGTTTTTTTAAAGAAAACATACACAAAATTTACGTTGAAACGAAACGAAACTCGAATTTATACCGACATATACATAAAAAATAAGTACTATTTTTTTAAGTTAATGAACCGAAGTACTGTAATAATAAAAAATGTATTATACTATATGACATGAATCATGCGTAGCAAACGTACGTAAAAATAAGCACAAAACTCTAAGAAAAATTATGTCGAAATGTAGACAAACTCGAATTTATACCGATGTGTACATAAAAAAAAAATAAGTTTTTTTTAAAAAAAAAAATAATGAATAAAAGTTATAAATTTACGCCGAATACTTCGAACATTGATCACCTTGAATTTATACCAACACATGCATAAAAATAAGAACTTAAAAATAGATTTTCTTATGTTAACTTATGAAAGTTATTAATATAAATAGATTACATGTACTATGATGGATAAATACAAAAGCTTAGAAAATAGAAGAGAAAAAGTGACATTTTAAAAATTTTAAAAGCGGAAGGGGTCAAAGTGACTTTCCAAAAAGTAGAGAAGTGGGAAATGTCATTTTGCGAAGTAGGGGTAGAAAAGTCACAAACTCATAAACATAAAATATATTCAAAATTACATAAATGATCTCTATGGTTTATCCATGATGACAAACTTAGTCTCTACTAAGCTTGAAAAGACAAACTTACCTGAACATGCAACACACAGAGCTTAACA